AGTCCAAGCCCGCGTGTCGTGCTGAAGGTGAGGCTGGGTGGGTGGGCACACTGCCCGAGCCCCTTGCCCAAGCTGCTTCCGCCCTGCTGGGCCGAGCAGCCCAGGTGTGCCGAGTGCCCATCGGCCTACCCTGCCATGGATCTGCACCCCATCCCGCGTGCCACTAAGCCCTGCACTGTGCGTGCCTGTCTTCCAGGACCCCCCTGCCTTCACAGTGCGCCCCAAGGAGGAATACTTCCAGGAGGTGGGTCGGGAGCTGGTGATCCCCTGCACGGCCCGTGGGGATCCCCCCCCAACTGTCACCTGGCTGAAGGTAGGAGCCGCTGCTCTGAGGAACGAGCTGAGCCCTTCTGAGAGGCGGATGCTGCTTTTGGTCTCTGGGGCATCATTCTAGGGCAGTCCCTGTGTCCGTGTCCCCGCAGATGCTGCAGGATCACATCTCTCCTGGTGCCTGCAGGAGAAGGGGCTCAGGGCACTTCGCTTGTGTTGCCCTCTAAGAAACCAGGGCAAAATCCTGCCCCTCAGTTCCTAAACCAGCCCCAGGGTGGTGGATCATGTCAAGTCCCATTTTCCCCAAGGGCCCGCTGTTGCAGGATCACTGCAGAGCAGCTGCCCTGGCCGTGCAGTGGGCTGGGTGGTCACCCACTGTCAGTGTGTCCATGCCTCTTTGTGCAGGTAGGCAGCGCAGGGAAGAGTGGCGCCCAGGTGGATGGGAACAGCAGCCTAGTCTTCCGCCCACTCGTCAAGGAGCAGCACGGGGTCTGGGAGTGCATGGCCACCAACCAGGTGGCCAGCGTCAGCACCACCACCGCCGTCCACGTGCTGGGTGAGTCACCGGTCCCTGGTGAGCAGGCATCGTCCATGGGTGCTGGGCTGCCTTGGGGTGGACAATACCAGGTGGAAGGGGTGGAAGGGCCCCTGCACAGCTGTTGTCCAAGCTACCTGATCTGATAGGTCTTCTCTCTGCTTCCCCTGCCAGGTACTAGTCCTCACGCTGTCACCAATGTCTCTGTGCTCCCGCTCCTGCTGGCAGCCAACATCTCCTGGGAGCCAGGGTTTGATGGAGGTTATTTCCAGAGGTTCAGCGTCTGGTACACACCACTGTGAGTCCCCGCTGTGGGCAGGGTCTGGTGTCCCAGCTGGGGCCCTCAGCTCTGGACTCATCAGTCCCGTGTCTCAGGGTGAAGCATCCACCCCAGGCCCATCGTGACTGGGTGTCGCTTTCGGTGCCCGTGGGGGCTCAGCACCTCTTGGTGGAGAATCTGCAGCCAGACATGAGCTACCAGTTCAGCGTTCTGGCCCAGAACAAGCTGGGTAGTGGCCCCTTCAGCCAGATTGTCACCTCTGTGCCCAGGGGTAAGAGGGGGCCCATGCATTCCCCAAAGCAGCCGCTGTCCCCCCGGAGCCCTCAATCACCTGGGAGGCTCCTGTTTCTGCCCTGCTGTCCCCCCCACATCAGCTCCAACACCAGCGTCCCATTTGTCCGCAGGCTTCCCAGTGACCACAGTGCCTCCAGAGCCGCCAGCCATGACCATGCGCGTCTTCCTGTCCCCGCCACAGGCTCTGACTGCCAATGAGACTGTGCGTGGGGTCCTACTGCAGTGGGAGCCCCCGGCTCAGTTCTCGGTGGCACTGAGCGGTTATGCGCTGGAGCTGCGGCAGGACAAGGGTGGCTGGGAGGTGCTGGACCGCTCTATCCCCAGCGCGAAGACCCAGGTCCTGGTGCCAGGACTCATCAAGGTGGGAATCTCACTGGTGCTCCCTGGCTGCGGGACAGCTCTGAGGGGACGCAGCAAGGGAGCGGGTCAGACCTGCGTTACTGCTACCTGGGGATGGGGCATCTGGCAATGCCTCAGAGCTGCTTAGCTCTGCAACTGTGTGGGCTGAGGTTTGGCTGGCCGTGGTGCCAACAAGGCTAATGGCCCTCTGCTCCCCCAGGATACTTTCTACGAGTTCCGACTGGTGGCCTTTGCTGGCAGCTACATCAGCGATCCCAGCAATACAGTGAACGTCTCCACAGCAGGTAAGGCCTGCGATGCCTTCCTGCCCTGGGGACAGAAATCAGAGGTGTAAAGCGCCCGGCATGGTCTAGGATCTTCCCAGACAGAAACCCCTTCATGCTGCTCCCACCCCAAAGCGTCCCTGCTGCTAGACCAGGGGACACAGCGCCCAGAGCAGGACCCACAAAGCTAACACTGCGGGAACGCCTATCTCCATGTGCGGATCTGGTGTGGCTTCGGTCTCACAGACTGGGTAGCATCCCTGCTCCTGGCAGCCAGCACGGTGGAGGGCACAGATCTGGCCGAAGGCAGACCAGCCCCAAGGGGCGAGAGAGCTGAGGCTTTGCTGTTTATCCCTGCGGTGCTGGCAACGGGAGGGAGGCTGTGCCTGCTGTGCTGGCATGCTCTGCAGGTAACTGAGCTTCTGACGGTGTCTCCTGTCTGGCCCAGGCATGGAGGTGTATCCGTCTCGCACCCAGCTGCCAGAGCTCCTGCCACAGCCAGTGTTGGCCGGGGTCATCGGGGGGATCTGCTTCCTCAGCGTGGCTGTAATCTTCAGCACCATGGCTGCCTGCATCATGAACCGCCGGCGTGCCGCCCGCATCCAGAAGCGAAGGCAAGGTAGGAGCCAGGTGGCTGGAGGCAGGCACCTGGATCCCAGGGCTCCCAGAGAGCTCGAAGCACCATGAACAGGGCAGCAGGACCCGGTGCCCAGGGAGGGGACAGGCCAGCCAGGGCTGGGGGGCTTACCAGGGTGGTAGTAGGGCTGAGTGGGTGCTGCTGTCTCCTCATCATCACTTTGAGTTGCTCGCTGTGTGATCCCCATGTGTTCTCATGACCTTCCAGATCCACCACTCGTCTTCTCCCCCAGCAAGAAGCTTCCACCTCCACAGTAAGTCATGCCATGCCACGCTCCCTCCTGTCCCGCTCCCTCCCTGTCTTGCTGCGCTCCCCATCATTCACTTGCTGCTGGCTGGGGGCAGAGGGACAGGCTGGGGGGCAGCCGTCCCCCTGCCCACCACTGTGGGCTGAGGGCTGGCCAGAGGGGGTGTTAGGAGCGGGATGCTGGGGTCAGGGTGTGTCCTGGGGTAGGGCTCCCCCGGAGTGCTCCCTCTGGGGAGTTTTGGCTGACGAAAGGATCAGAAAGCACAGGCACAGGTCTGTTGAGCCCGCAGCAGCAGTGCAGGATCACGGTACCTTCTGCCAGATGCCTGGCACGAGCCCTTCTGCCACAGGGGGCAGCTGGACAAGCCTGGAGCTGGGACAGGGGTGCTGCAGTGGTTCCTTTCTTCCTTACAGCAATTCTCGTGGCTCTGGTAGCCCAGACAGCACCGTGAAGCTGAAGCTGCAGCCGTCTCCCTATCGGAGCCTGCGCCGGACACTGCTGTGGGGTGAGAAGGCCGGCACCAGCCTGGGTCTCAGCATCGCCAGGGCTGGCTCCCGGTATGCCATGTACGAGAGCCATGTCGGGGAGCACGTGCCCCTGGAGCGGATCTGCCGTGGCCCCGATGGGCGCTTTGTGGTAGAGACCGACACGCAGCCGCAGGAGAGCAGCTTCGGGGCGCTGCCCTATGCCGAGCTGGAGCCATACCCGCAGCAGGACCCCCCGGGGCTGCAGCCTGAGCCCTACCTCCAGCTGCCCGCAGAGGAGGAGCACATCTGGCACAAGGGGGTCTCACTGCGCCCCCGGCCCACAGGGCAGGCCCGCCGGGGAGCCCGGACCACCAGCTACCGCCAGGGCCGCTATTTTGGCTACGGCAGCAGCAGCCCTGTAGATGAGGCCACGGCATTGTGCATCGTCAACATCAGCCCCGTGGCCTCTGCCACAACTCTGCCTTACAGCACCGTGGAGGAGCTACGCGACAGCCCCGGCAGCGCCAGGCCCTGCCAGACCACCACCAGCGCCCTGTGGGACTCACTGCCCCTCGAGGGCTCCCCCCAGCCACCCCTCAGCCCCCCACTCTCCCCCAGCCTTGGGTGCCACCAGCAGTTTGCCGGCCCCCTGACCCAGAGCGGGATCCTCCAGTACCTGAGCCTACCCTTCTTCAAGGAGATGTGCGTCGATGGTGACTGGCCGCCCCTGGAGGAGCTGGCTGAGCCCAGCCAGGCCAGCGGCCAGCCAGAGCCTGCCGCCAGCCCACTGCCTGGCCTGCTGGAGGCTGGGGGCTCCCCGCAGCACACAGGGCGAACGCTGTGCCCAGACTGCATTGACACATGTGCCAACACCATCTCCCCCTCAGCCCCTGCTTTCCTCAAGCCCCCTAGGCTCCTAGTGGGTCCTGCCAAGGCCTCGCTGCCTGGCACTGCTGCCTGGTCCGGCTCCCCCAGCTCTGGGGCCAGCCCATGGCCCCCTACCCAGCCAGCTCACTGCCTCCCTGCCAGCAGCGGCAGGACTGAAGCTGTGCCCTCAGCCGGCACCACTGTGCCCTCAGCTGGCACTGCGGAGCCCAGCTGGGTGCTGGGCAGGCCACCAGATCCTGCCCCCCTGGAGAAGCTGCCGCAGGGCAGTTTGACCAGCCAGAGCAGCGGCCGGGGCAGCGCCTCCTTCCTGCAGCCCCCCTCCCTGGCACCGTCTCTGGGGGGCAACTGTCTGGGTCCCCCCCTCGGGGACGGGGGCAGCTGGCACAGCGGAGGCTCGGCAGCGGAGGAGGGCAGGGCGAGGACAGATCTGGCACTTGGCGGCACTGGAAAGAGGTGAGCTGTGGGCACGATGCCGGGTACGAGCCAGCTCATGCCAGGGCAGCTCTCAGCCTGTCCCATGGGGCGTGGCTGGGGTGTCCCAGCACAGAGCAGCCCCGTTGCCTCCCAGCCCCTGCGGCACCCCAGCCACTGCTCCCTGGGGACACCCCGCTATGGGGTCCCCACCATCCCTGCCCCTGGGGACCACCCCAGCTCTCCCTACAGCAGCCCTGCCACCCCTCACACCCGCTGCCTGCTTCCCCCTCGGGGCATGCCTGTGTGAGGGACTGTCCTGACGCCCATCCTTGCAGGAGGAACACCTCAGTGGATGAGAACTACGAGTGGGACACAGAGTTTGCCCTGGAGTCGGACATCCTCGAGGCACTGCAGCTCTACCGCAGTGGGGACCCGGAACGGCCCGTCTCCACCATCGCCCTGCGCGACCTGGAGCGGCAGAGTGAGTGTGGCACCCCCGGACCCCCCGTCCGTCATCGCCCTGTGGGGCTGTCCCCCACCCTTCCCAGGCGATTGGGAAAAGGGGGTGGCAGGGCCCTTTGGCACCCACATCCCTGGGGGTGGCCCCGTGGGTGGGTGACGCAGCCGGACCAGACGCTGCCTGTCTCCCCGCAGTGCCTGGCGGCGGGCCCCCCCCCCCGGGGACCGGG